CAGTTACCAAGCTCCTGTACTTTATTTTAGGGCATGCTTCTTAGGTAAGTTGTCTCCCCCATAAAGCAAATATTTAAAGTAAAAATGACATAACATTTGTACTGAACTAGCAGGAAAATAAAGGATAAAATATTGGGTTATCGTAGTGGTTTATGATTCATTTCTTGTACATATTTCAGATTCTCTAAGTATCAGTATCCAGGGGCAGATGATATCATCTCAGCCTTGAAGGAGTTTGATCTTTATACTCCTGGCAACAAGCCTATGGTTGACTAAATCTGCTGTCCATTTTTCTTTTTCTCTAAATGAAAAACCCTCAAAGATGCTGAGTCAAACTCAGAAATGGAGTACCTGGGCCTGGCTCTTCTAGAGATGTCCTTGATGTAGGCTTATCTAAATTTTCATTTCAGATTAATAATGCATACTAATTGAGAATGATTAAATGGAAAAAGCATCCTACTCAATCATGTTTCAGCAATTGCAAACATGCTGTTTCAATTCTTTGTTCCAGGAGTTTGCTTTATATGTTTCATTGCCATGCATTTTTGATATGCATATTCTATGTGTTGTCAACTATATCTCACTATTGTTCCATTTGCTTTGTCAGAAAGGTGGAGACACTGACTGCTCTAGTACCACTGCTAGTAATGCTTACCTAGTTAGGCATAGCATGATCATACAATAGCACTGTTTGTACTTTGCTCTGTCTGAAGAGTCTGTACCTGGTGCACTGGAATTGGAATCCTGAGGTCATTTCTAAACTTAGCAGCATCAGTGACTTTTGTGTTTGGAATGATCTATTAGCATTATCTAGATTAACACATCTGAATGTTACTAGTGATATCTTTCCTTTTTAATTAAAAAGGAGCTTAAGCTGCTTTGAATGTGTTTGGTAGATTTAATCACTTGCTGTCTCATATTGTTTAATGGCTTTTAATTTTGCTATGTTAGCATTTTAACCAGCTTTTGAATGTGAAATTCTCAGGCTTCTTTGGTAAAAGGGATTTTAATCTGAGGTTCATTGTCTCACAAATGACAATTTGAGATATATTTTCAACCTAGGATATAGGGAATTGGGGGCATATCTCAGGGTCCATGGCCACTAATAGTTTCCTAATTCATGCATACCATGCTGCAATTATATGCTTGTAGTAGCTGCAGACATTTAATGAAGTCGCAATACACAGTTTAACTTGTTTGCAAATGGGAGAATAAAGCAACACTTGCTGCAAAAGTCACTTAGTGATTTCAAAATATATAGTAAAAGGCACATCAATAGATTTGTAGTGTGAAAAATAACTTCATATTTGCATTCAGTGGAACAACAGTATGCCTCCTGGATGTAAGGTGGTGGTGGAGAGGGGTGGACTGGTGATGCTGCAGGTAAAGGAGGTAGGGTAGTTCTTTTTTTCTCCTTTAAAAAAAAAAAAAACAGTACAGTGTTTTCATATAATTAGTATTCACTATAAGCAGTTAATCACCAGAGAAGAGCTCCCAGAGACAAAACAAGTTGTTTAGCTTGTCAGCATCAGGGAATCGGAGGTGTTGAAACATGACTCCTTATAGCTGAAAGAGGATATTACAGAAGCTGATGGATGATCTAATGCCCAGTCTTTGTATTGTATGGCAACAGCTCCCCTTGCAGTACAGAATTTTAATTGTTCCTACAAGTGTAATCATACATTTTAACACACTTCTTGGGATTTTTTCACAATAGAAAATAACGACTTCTGGAAGACGTACAGAATTAGCTGGAATCTCTTTTTACCTTTTTAGCATTCCTTCCTTCTGACCTGGAAAGTATGACACATACTGATCTAACATTTTTTTCCAATAACATTTCTGTTAGGTGCACCATTTGGTAGAAAGGTAGGATACAAATTGAATAAATTATTAATAAATGTTTCAAGATTAACTGTATTGACATGATGAGCTGGGCACTTTCCCCTATCATATGGGACATTATGTGGTGGCGGGTCTGTAAAATGTTTTACTAGTTCATTGGATGAACCTATGTGCCTCCTATACTGCTGTAATTCTCAAAGGGCAGTTTATTTTCAGTTTGAGTATTTTGCAGAATATTTCAAATCCTGCTTTATTCAAGATCATTCTTCTTGTTCAGTCACAAAGTCGTGCCTGACCCTCTGTGATTCCATGGACTGCAGCACACCAGGCTCTCCTGTTATCCACTATCCCCCAGAGTTCACCCAACCCCATGCCCACTGCGTCAGAGACTACATCCAGCTACCTCATCCTGTGCCATTCCCTTCTCCTTCTCCTTTCAAATGTTCCCAGCATCGGTGTCTTTTCCAATAAGTCCTTACTTCTCATTAGGTGGCCAAAGTATTTGAACTTCAGCTTCAGTATCTGTTCTAGAGAACAGTCAGGGTTGATTTCCTTTAGGATTGACTGATTTGACATCTTTGCACTCCAAGGGACTCTCAGGAGGCTCTTCCAACACCACAAATGTAAAGCATCATTTCTTCAGTGTTCAGTCTTCCTTCTTGTCCAGTTCTCACATCCATTCATTGCAAGTGGGAAAACCATAGCTTTGACTATACAAACTTTTGTTGGCAAGGTGATACCTCTGCTTTTTAGTATGCTTTCTCGATTTGCTGTAGCCTTCCTCCCAAGGAGCAAGTGTCTTTTAATTTCTTGGCTGCAGTCCCCATCTGCGGTGATCTTGGAGCCCAGGAAAATAAAATCTGTCACTATCGCTTGATCCTAAATGTGTATGTTGACATACCTGTTTGATACATTGGTATAAAATCATGGTTCATGACAGCATTTTGATTGGTATATCCACTCTTAGTGAATTTTAAGTGTACTAGTAGTGTATTTTATATATTCAAATAAGAATGTGATCTTTTTGTAACATTAAGACTTATATGTAAGAATTGACATAACCATGTTTACTATTCATTAAAAATAAATAATTTGAAATAATACTTTATTAGTATTTAATGCATTTTATTTATTAAATTTGTTTAAAGGTCACCCATTAGCATCACACTTTCTGATTAGCTTTTTGGAATATTATCACTTGAAGATATAGGATGAAAGTATAGTTTGTCTTGGTGTATGCTTTGTTCTATATATAAATGTTGGCCTTGGTCAAATGATTCATTTTGCATGGTTATGATTTTTTCACAGTAGTGTACTATGTTCAGAATCTAGTAGAGTATATGGATACAACTGTAGACCACCAATAAATCAGAATTGTGACACAGGTATGGAACTGAGAGATAATCCCAGCTTCAACAAGACAACTGTTTAGCATGGCAGTGTAGGTAGCATTTTATCCCAGAGTTGTTTCACAAGAAACACACTTTCTATAAAGAATTCCTTACATGTGCTAACCTTTGAGCTAAGGGAAACTACTGTTGGGGAACATTTCCTCTCTGTGGCAGCTCTTTAAGACTAATTAGGAACTCAGATTATTATTATATAATGTCAACAATTCCAATCACATATTTGTAAGATATTGATAAATCTGCATGCTGTAATCGTTACTAATTTCTGAAAGGGGCAAAACTCATCTTAAATTCTCACTGTTTTTTCTAAATTCACTTTCCTGCTACCACCACCATTAACTAGAATTCCTTTCAAAGCCTAATTCTTATATAAATAGCCCAAAGCTCAAAGTTCTTCCTCAATAGATATAGATAGATGCACGACTTGTGAGAGATAGCTTAGATTAGACAATGATCTAGTGGATCCCAGCCCCCTAATTGAAGATCAGTGATCCTAGATATAATAGATATGGGATCAGGAGGAGAACTTTAAAAAATTTTTGGTTCAGAAAGGAAGATATCAAGGTTGCATCCAAAAACAGTCCTCTGTTATAAAGAACTTATTATTTCATATTTATGAAGACTTTGAATCTGCCCCATTGTAGAATAATCAGGCAAAGAACACCATTTCATACAGAATAGCAATTAAAATAAGAAATTGAAATTATCTGTTACCAATCAATATAGCTGTAACAACAGCCTTGCCTCCTGGCACAAGGCTTTCATAGAGTACCTGAAAGACAGCCTGCTAGCTATGGCAGACATAAGGAAGAAGTGAGTTCTGTATCAGGAATTGACTTTCTTTCTGTTTTCCATTATGATCTACCATGGAAAGGTTCGTAGAGAATATCACCAAAATATTTTCTACTGTTTCCTATATGTAGAGTTACTTAGAGCATATGGCAACTGGCCCATCGGTATTTGCAGCTTGTATCTCATCATCACACATTGCAATATAATCCTGTTTTAATACAAATAACTTTAGTTTTTTATGGTTGCCTTTACTTCAGTTTTCATGTTTTCATTTTTCTGCATTATGAAGTTATTACTTGGAACTGCCAAATAGAAAATGGAGAGTTTTGTCCTCCACTTTGAGTGTGTTAAAAATATATATAATACAGAAACGAATCTGATAGCAACAGGATCTCAAGATGTATCTTTACATGACATTCAAATGTTAATTGGGCTAATAAATCTTATTTATTTCATAGACATGAAAATGTCAGTGGAATAAAACTATTTATCCACAGGATAATGGCCTCATGACACCTGATAAATGCCACGATGGTAGTTATTGAAAAAGTATCAGAGTTTCCTTTTATTTGTCAAAAACAAATACTCCAGCAAGGATCATTTCTATTTTCAATATGGTAATTACATCAAAATATTAAAGTTGAGCCAGTGAGCAGGATCCAAGAGTAAGCACCAATCATCCCCTAATATGAGTGCACTAAATAGCAGCCAGTGGCCATAATATCTGGGGATAATGGAAGTGGTAGAGCTAAACATGGAAGGTACCATGTTGGGAAAAGCTGCTATAAAGGTATGACAGTTAAAAACATTGATGACCAAGGTTGACCCAAATACTTGCTGTCCTCCCCAACATACTGGTTGATTTTGCATTTGCTTTTGAATTATCTGTATTTTTTATGTTTATGTGTAGATATGTATGATTAATCTCACGGTAGGGGATGTGATATTTTTCAGATGGAAGGCCTTTACCTCTGGATGAAGTATGGAAAGGGGTGCATGAATGCTACAGGGATCGCCTCTGGCAGGGGCCCTGGGACACCATTACACAACAGGTTAGAGGTTTCTAATCTATTATAGCAAAGTGGATGACTTATGGCCTCCAGATGTTTGAACCTACTGTTTCCATAATCCCTTACCATTGATCATGCTGGCTACCACTGATGAGTGTTATAGGTCAATGCCTAAGGAAGGCCATAGGTTGACCTCTCATACAATATAACATGGAAATAATTTACCTGAACTATCATGCATATACATTAAACTAGATAATTTACTGATCCAGTGATAAAGATAAATTCTGAAACTGATTAAATGCATTTGGTAAGAATAGGATACATGAAATAATTTTAGAGGTTTTAGAACACAATTTTTAAGTGCAGTTCAAGTAGGCAATTGGCTAATGAAAGCTATACTCTAATCTTCTTGTTACTATTGAGAAGCTTCCTTCCAACCATATGGAGTTCTAAAATAGCCTTGTAGAATTTATTTCTCTTTGCAAATAATAATTCACTGAATATGGAACACTTCCCAGTTCCATTTTGAATAAAAATAATCTTGCAGGAGAAAGTATTGTTAATACTGTATTGAAAAAGACAAGAGATCTGTAGCATACTTTCAATTCAAGCATGCCCTGATAAATTAATATTAATTTGCAAACTATCACAAACAAAATTGTGAGCTGCCCCATGGCTTCGGCGAATGGGGCGGCATAGAAGCTTCATAAATAAATAAATAACTGTATTACTGAAAATGGGACTCTTTAATTGATTGGAAAAAGAGAGAGGACCAAACACACTGTGAGGCAGGTGCTGTATTACAGTAAACATGCCCATAATAATGATCATTAGTGCACACTATTAAAAGATCAGCTTCATAATAAATGTGGAAAATGAGATGCAAAAATTGTAAAACTTAAAGGTATTTGAAAAGGAGTAAAAGAAATGTGAGCATGCAGGTCTTTTCTAGTTTTTTTTTTTTTCTTTTACTTCTTAAGAATTTGGATAGAAAGGGAGACTAGAATTGGCTACCCCAGAATTGATGGGAGAAAAATACTCCTTTTCTTCCTGTACCTTGAATTATAGCAAGTACTGACAGTGTTATAGGCAGTAACAAATTAGATACATGTTTAGCATTGAAATGTATCATCAGAATGGATCAGTACAGTTTCAAGCATAATGTTCTAGTATTTCATTATTAATTGATTTAGCTGCTCAAAATTATTTTATTTTTTCATGTTCAAAGATTTTATATCTGCACATTTTCATTTTCAATTTTGTGAACTACCCAGAGACCTCTGGTGATGGGCAGCATAGAAATTATACACATTATGGAGCATATGTATTTATCAGATAAAATCACCAATTTGCTTAACACAGGTTCAGAAACTATTCAAGTAATGAAAAAAGTAAATATTTTTAAAATGTGGTTTTATATAATCCAGACTTTGTAAAAACATGTCGTTGATAAAAGAAAGCAGACAAATTTCATGTTTGAAATATGGAATACCTGTTTGAGTTTCCTCTTTCTGCTTCACACAAATACATACAAAATAAACGCCATTGGTACCCTTGTTCACAATTATCTAAATGCTTTGCATTAGAAGTACCTGCACTAAACCTTTCCTTGAGTAAACTAAGTTGTGAGTGAACAAGTTCTTATTCACTAAAGCCTAATCAATAATAGGATGTATAATCAAACACACAAAGCTAGTAGTTGAGTAAGCTAATTACAGTGAACAGCTTGAGCCTTGCTGTCATTGTGTTGCCAAGAAAAAAAAATTATTGAGTCATAGAACCAGTTCACATCTTTGGCAGCTCTATTGAATTCTCCCAGCATGATCATCTTTAGGCTTGCATGTGCTATCAGTTGCATGGAAGTAGACTCAAAGAGCCAGAGCCAGATTTCATTGCAGATATCAAGGCTGGTAGAAGCCGACTCTTTCCTGCCCTTGGCGAGAGATCTGGAGTGGGGAAAGTTAGCTTTTCCAGCTCCATTAAGTGTACCTAATTCTGGATCTAACCCATAGAATTCAGGAGGGCCTTATAGACCATCTAATTCACATTCCATGAGGGAGGACCAGCTCTTGCACATTACAGTCTGCCCAGATTCGTATGATTCTGAGGAGGAGGTAGAAGGGCAAAGGTAAGCCAAAAACTTTGCAGTTTCAAGGTTTTCTAGTGAAGACCCTCAGCCTATGAGAACCAGCCTGTCTTAGAGTGAGGCATTGCAGAGCTGGGGAAGGAGGTGATGGAGAAGGTTTTCTTTGACCCTGTCAGAAGCAAACAGGTGAAGCAAGCAGCAAGAGCCACCCTGAGGGTAGAGTCAGAATCTTAATGGGAGGGCAAGAGGGTAAGTTTCAGTTTGGATTCAACTCTTTACATAGTCAGATTCTTCTTCCACATCTCAAGGAGAATGTTATTTGGATTTATGTTGTTTTATAACTTAGGTTTTGATAAAATAACTGTGCTTCTGACGTTTCATCTGAGTCTACTGGAAAGGAAAAAAGGGGGAGAAATCTGTTCACAACAGAAAGCTGCCCACCTTCTGCTTGGAAACCTCCAGTGTGAAAGAGCCCACCACCTATTTTCTTAACTGATTGCTTTGTTGAACTACTCTTAATACCCAGATTTTATCCTAACAATAAACTGAAATCTACCCTAACCCACCCCTGACTTTAAGCCAATTAACACTAACTACCCTGTGCGTCAGAGAAGCATGTAATTCCAGTGTTTAGGTGCTAGAAAAATGCTATCATGTCACCTCTCAGTCTAATTAGCTCGAATGTGTTCTTCACACTGCTGACCATCTCTCTTTTGCTGTTCTTTGAACGCATTCTTATTTGTCTATGTACTTAAGTATGGCATCCAGAACCATACTTAAAATTACCACACTTGGGTTACAATACCTAAGAGTTTAGATGACGTCATATTAGTGCAGAATAAAGTGGAAACAGTTGTTTAATGAGATTTGGAAATTATGATTCTACTATTATCTATCAGCAGGTTTGAGAGGGCTTACAGGCTGTACAGGAGGTGAAGAAGGCAAAGCGTCATTGCAGAAGTAGAAGTTTAGTGTTAGATTATGACCATTATTTTTTAAAGCGCCCTGGGAATATGATTGAAGGTTAGTATAATTCTACTTAAAAAAGGAGAACATAGGAAGCTGCTATCTGCTGATGCTAATAATAATGATCATAGTTAATAAAGATTGAATGTTCCCAACTTCACCCTAGGGGTGGATAGGCCATATATCAACATTCTATTTCCATGCAAATCATGGAAACCTGGTTTATAACATAGGCCATCTAACTCAGTATATTGCACAATATTTTCTATACTGTGACAGAAGGTTTCTAAAGTTTCAGACAGTATTTGTTTCCAGGTCTAGTTGGAGATGCAAGGAATGAACCTTGGACCTTCTGCATGCCAAGCACCCTCTATGCCACTGATCTGCTCAACTTTAGAGTGGCATTCTTGGTGCTTACATTTTCTTGGTCCATTTTTAGGCTAGATTTCAGTGTTCTGGGTTGTCCAGATCCATTTAGAATCTTGAGATTACTGTTGTGAGGAGATGTATAAATCCTCCACCTTTTGATTTTTCTATTCATTGTGAAGACCCTCACTCTAGAATCGCAATCCTTTTATATAGGGCAGGTAGTAAACATGATTCCTGTGGTTTACCAGCAGTCAGCAAGGTTCAAGAGTGAACAGCATGTCAGTGTCTTTAAATGCCAAGATTCAATCCAGTCAGGATTCCTGGGTCACTACTGAGAGAAAGGCAGAGAGACATGGCTCATGTTTTGCACGTTTTCTGTGTAAAATCCCCATGTTACTGGCATATCCACAGCAATGGTATATTCTGTGTGTGGTATGGAACACAATGTGTTCCGTGTGGGCCAGTGTGCATGATACTCATTTTGCAGCAAAGTGTCTCTAAAATTTAAGTGTATGATAGCCAAAGACCTACTTGCAGGTAGAAGCAAAAAAAAAAAAAAAAAAAAAAGGCTATTAGCCTTGCTGGCTATTTGCTGCATCCTTTACCAGAGGTAGCATGTCTAAGAATACCAGTTGCTGAGGAGTTTGGAAGTCAAAATTCTTGTACTCATACTGCTTGGGGAGTCTTGTGAGCAGCTGGTTTGCCAGCATGTGAACAGAGTGCTAGATTGGATGAATGGCCCATTCATCTGATCCAGCATGGCTTCTCTTATGTTCTTGGGCACAAAACTGGTTACCATTGGCAAATTGACTTATTACTCTTAACAATGATTTTACACAAAGAATGTGTTTGAAGGGTCAGTTTGGAAATGGTTTAGCATATCTTTTATTCATTCATTTAGTTAATCTTGAAAATATAGCATTCTTCACTGAATTACTTGCTTTCCTTCTGTATTTTATATGGCCTGATCCAGCTAAGCTGAAGTAGGGGGACTCAGGGTGATTCAATCACACTGTTATGTGGGATTTGCCTGGCATACATCCAATTACTAAGAGTATTTTGCATTATGCATTGAGCTAATAATGAGAGCAGCATAAGGAAGAGGGAGAAAAACCAGATATTCATAATCTAGCTGTGCTGATCCAAATACTGTGCTAGACTTAGGTCAGATGGTTCTGCTCAGCAGCACTGGCTAGCTGCATTATTGGACTATTTAGAATGTTTTTATCTTCTCTGATGATTCCTATGTGAAGGAGAAGCTAGGATGTTAATACAAAGGAGGAGACATCAACATCATCATGAAGACCAATGGTAGAAGTTATAGCGGGACTGAACCCAGGCTAAAACTTGATATATGGAACCTGAGGCAAAGTCTGTCATCTTAGTTTCTGAGGTAGTGCTGCCATCAAACCATGGCTTTTTAAAATTCTGAGATGGAATAATAAATGTAAACAGTATTTTACTAAATGCCCCAAGAGAAAAAGATGACTCATTTTAGAAGAAATTATTGTTGTATGTAGTCAAGTTTCCATTCAAGATATTTGTTTTACAGCCAAGAGGGCAAAATTAATTGATTGCAAAGGCATGTTCATATTCTGATCAAAATCATTTATTTGTACCATATGTAGTTGACCACATGTGAGAGGATTTCAGTTGGAGGCCATGATAATGGTGATTATAAGATTAATAAAAGTCTCAACATAGTATAGAAAGAAGAATTGGAGAGGGACAATGAAAAATGCATTTCATATAGATAGCCCCAGGTCTTCAGTCATTGACATCTCTAGTTAAAGGATCTCTGGTGGTAAAGCTGGAAAAGTTATCTTCCTTGGAATCACATTATTGCAGATTTAGTTCCCTATCAGTTGCACATGATAATAAGCTATGGTTTACATTAACCACAGTTTCTTGTTTTTGCCCTGAATTGTCCTAAAAATAAGCAAACAAACTATGGCTTGCTTCCATATTTATGGTTTGTTTCTCTCACACTGATTTTTGCCAAGCAGCAATGTGGTTTCATTTTCAAGGTATTCTTTCTGGGTGTCTTTGATTCAGGGCAGACAGTTGTGCCAACAAACTAGGGATAAAGCAAGGTTCTGGTTTCAGACATGACAATTCATGGATTAAATAAAGCAGACCAACAACAAACTGTGGCTTCATTTTGTGATTTATAGTTGGTTAAATAAGCCAGATTTCAACAAATCACACCATGGCTTACAATTATGTGTGAACTAAGTCAATGACTCTGAAGATATTTCAGTGCAGTGTTGTTTCTTTCATGTAAACAAATCAACATCTTATCTACACCTCTTCAATATTAACATCAAACTGGACAATTTTTCACATTAATCTAGCAGCTACTGTTTTTCAATATGTGGTTAAGAACCTGAAAGACATGTTCTTTATAGCAGTACAATAATTTTGCCCATTACATCACATAATTTATGGCAGCATTAAACACAAAAATCAATAAACATTATTTCTAAAATGTCAAGTATGTTAATGGTGCGGAGTTTAAAAACATACAGAGATTCTTGACTGTTTCTGAAGAGAGAGTTTTGATATAGAGGTGCTTAAACACAGCAAAGTGAAAATTTGTTAGGGGCATATTAAATCTTCCCTGAGCCATCAGAATGAATGTAGGTAGCTATTCTTAGACATAAAAATCTTCCTGGACATACTGCTGAATTTTGTTAAGCAGGAGAGGTTATGTACAGTATAGCTTAACAAAGTGTTGCTAAGATTTCTTGCTACATTTCTTGAGTTTCATCAATAGCTGCCGTAGAACACGGGCTCTTCTGGAAAATCATTTGCAGTATCAGTACTATGGCAGATAAAGTGCAGCTTTGCATATCATGACAGCCCTTCATAGTAAATTGCCATGATGGGTTGCCATGAAGCACTTGGCAGCCACAATGAGTGTGACAAACAATCAGGCTCATTATGGCTGATACGGTTCCTCCTCCCCCCCCCCCCCACCGCCATCCCTTTCATTCCTCCAGGTGGTGTTCTGGGCACACCACAGGGAGGAACCCTGAGGTTCTTCTCTTCAACAGTTGTGAATGTGACCCAATTTTGTCTCCAGGAGCAGGAGGTAAGGGCACCTTATGCACTCCATACCTTTGCCCCATTATTGGGGCAGCCCTGCTTAACAGATCACCAGCTCTCATCTTCTGTCTGGAAGCAAGTTGCTCAGGAAGGATCTGGGACCTGGCTTGACAAAGGTATTCCAAGAACAGGGTATCCCCACTGAGCCCATGGCTCCACTCCTGCCTATGTTTTGGAAAAAATGCTCAAGTGGCTATGGTGACAGAGGGGTATGCATTTTTGGGGGCTGCCCTATTTTCAGGGCAACCATATGAATTGCACACCTTTCCTACCACAGCTACCTGAATACCTTCCTCCAGGCCAAGGGCAGGGTGCTGGCAGATGTTTTTAGTGAGCACACTCAGAGAACAGAGCATCTCTGCTGAGCACATCTGCCTCCTCCTATGCCGCTACTTGGGAAGAAGCTGCTCTGGTGTGCTCTGGGTTGGGGAGTCCCATGTGCACAAAAGCACTTTTCTCCGAAGCAGGAGTGAGGAAGGGCTGTTGGCACTTGCCCCCTCCTTCTCAAGGCAGAAACTGCTAGCTGAGGATCCCTTCATGCTCCCACATGAGAGGTTTTGTCTCAGCTGTGACCAAGAGGGCACCATTCACTTCAAGTACTGTTCTGATTGCAGATGAAACTGTCAATATCATAATTCACATATACAAATTTATGGTACAACCACTTGTGAAAACTGTATCTCAATGAAGAGAAGATAGAACTAGAAAAGGTGCAGCCAGAAAGGGCAATGTAGCAAGTCCCCTATGAAGGAAGGTTACAGCGTTGGGGATCCTTTATTAAGAGAGATGTGTCCAAATTATGCATGATGTGAAGCAAGTGGAGACCCCTCCCCTCCCAAGCTCTAATTCAACTTAACAGAGGAAATCCAAGTCTTTGTGACCTGGAGGTTCCCCACACCTAGGGTAGAGTTTAAGAGTGTGCAGGGATGTATCAGGCAGGAGAACCTATTGCCAATTAGCCTCCCTTCACCCTATTGTTTTTTAACTGATATTTTAATTAGTGCTAAAATTCTTTTCCTGCTATTTGGTTTTAGATTAAAATATTTGTGCTTAATACTGCTTAAAAGAAAAAAGTGTGTTACAGCACTATAATGCTAATTTTAAAATATTTTTTAGAAAATGAATCTCACTGCTTATTAGTCACTACTTGTTTAGCAGTGTTTTTTCCTAACTAAACCACACTTCTGATCCAAAACAAAACTGCTGATTTTTTTAACATATCCCAGGTAGTAAAGGGCAATCACAGTTAAATGAATAAACACTTAGTATTAATTAATTGTGTGCTTGTGGTATGTTTGTTCATTTTTGAACAAAATGCTTGGCATGTTATATTGCTTTCTTTAATGGTGAATTGGGCCTTCTCCACCTAGAGCAGCTGTGGCCCACCCACTGGTACAGATTGAGCATAGCAGAATGTATACACAGAAAAAAGCACAGTATCCATGCTAGCATGTAAAACAGTTGCAATTCTGCCTGCAGCACAGAGTGGAAGAGTGCTATTAAAGGTTTCAAGGTTAGGTTCTAGGAGCTGTGTGTCTGGAAATTCATCAAGAAAGTGCTAAAATGCTTTTTGTAAGATTTTCAAAAGCTTTAACTTTTTCTTGTATAAACTATACATTTTCTTCAAATTTGCTAGGTTGTCTTGCATCTTCAGTAAATCTTGCAGCTTCAGAACATATTTTAAACTTATTAAAATAACATGCAAGATTACCAAATAGTTGATGACAAAATTAATTTTTGGCATGTATTGAATATTATATCATCTGTTTATTTTTGTGAAAGGAATGTAGTGCCAATTCTAAGAACAAAAACTGGTCTACCAATTCTACAGTATAAACTTTTATTCAAATGTTTAATCAGCTACAAACTTTAATCATAGTTCAGTAGGCATACTTTAAGGAGGAATATTTATTGTTGCTTAATTTATAGATCATAGATAGCAAATTACACTATTCATTTGAGAGATCTATATAAAATCTTCCTTAAACAACTAGAAAAATAACCAAAGTCAAACATATGATGGTTGCACTCAAAACTTACTGAATTCATTACCTTGTTAATACCAGAGCAAGTAGCCTTTAAAGCAGATATGGTTCTCCATCTAGCCTTACAGCCTCCATGTGGCAGGGCTGACCTCCAAACTTCATCAACTGGAGAAATCAACTTCTTCGCATGGAATTCCTGTTGTTATCTCAGAGGGGGACCACTTGATGACTCTGGATAGATGTTCAGCTTATATTGCATGTGTCTTCCCCAAGGTGTCAACGCACACAGCATGAATCCAGGGACTTGCCCGTACTACGTCTTCTACTACCAGGGAATATAAAGATTGTCTCCAGCTTAGTGGTGCAGGAGCAGCTTTGCTGTGCCCAAGCTTTCTTCAACTTTGGACATGCATTGAAGTCTATCCCTGTCCAAAATGTGACTCTGAGCTCCAACCTTGGCTTTAGCCATGGGACTGGATGATACCATATTCCTGACAGTGAAGGATGGGCTTGTTCCCTAATGTCATTCATCCCATGAAGACCTGGATCAAAGAATATTTGGCCAGGGACATTTGACCTTCCGCCTCAAAAGTGTTCCCCACCCCTGCTATAAAGCTATGTCATTTTCTTTGTATACATGTTACACTGAAAAATATATATCACTTTAATGAAATAGCAATTGACATGTATCTTCTGGAAACTGAGTTAAACTTTCATTAATATATATATGATCTGCTGCTGTACCTAGTTTATATTGTTAATGAGGCTGGAAGGGGCTTAGGAAGCTTGTTAGATGGGGCATTTATGGTATATTTAAAGTTGTATGTGGAGTGGAAAGGGGGTTGGTCTCTGTGTTATGCATTGTCATTTGTTTCTGTTGCTCCAGGTCCCAACTAACTGGATGTAGTTCAGAGCCTACGTTTCCCTTCTACAGGGTTATAATGCTCTTTATTTTTACATTTGTTTTTATGCAGGGGGTACTGAGGTGTAAAAATATGGAGCATGGAAAAAACTCAGTTACAGCAGTGCAGTAAAACAAGGGGTGGGAGAAAGATTTGAATCAGAGATCTACATCAGGTTCATAGGAATTCCATGCTGATAACATTTTGCAAGGGCTATTGGAGAATTAATCTTGTTCCATTTGCCTTGTCTACAAAAGGATACACTATAACAAATGGAACAGTCTTTAAGGTGCTGCAAAGGTGCTCTGTGCTTTTGCTACAACAGACCAATACGATGACTGCTCTTCTGGAAATTCTTGAAAATGATGGTACACTAAAAATAAAAGTTCTATGTGCATGTGCACAGAGAGAGAGAGAGGCACCAAAAATAGTTCTGGCTCAGTTGGTTTCTGTTGCTGAACAAATGCTTTATCGCAAAGCTGCTGGCAATTTGTCATTGTGTGTGTGCGCGCACGCGCATGCATTCATGAGAGAGAGAGAGTTGAGGGAAGTGAGTGAAAGGCCTTCCTGTTTCTATGGCAGCTACTAGTATATTCAGCTTCACTTAATCCAGTAATATTATTAGGTGAAGCAATGTGTAGAATTGAATGTTTCAAGTCATGCCTTACTTTTCTAGGCACAGCAGTCTCTGCTGGCAGTGCACCTCTATTTTAATCATACAGTCAAGTGCAGAGCATCTTCCTAAACATTGGGGATGGACGGGTGCTTGTTTTGCATGATCAAAATCTCAGGATCAACTCCCAGCAATTCCAGTTAAAAGAAGCTCAGGTAGCAGGGCTGGAAAAGATTTCAGTGCTGCCAGTTAGAATAATTATGGGGCTGCTTGTGGTCTAACTCAGTTATAAGATAGCTTCATATTTTCATTATATTCATTTAAAAGGCAGGATTGTGGCTTAAAATAATCTTCATGGTTAGTCCTTTACTTTATAATAATTGTATTTATATTTTTCCCAGAGAAAGTGTTCTAGTTGTTGTTCACTATCCTTATGAAGTTTGGTATAGAAAGAATATGTCACCTTTTCGTATTGAGGATTCAGTTCTTGCATACCAAAACAACTCTGCTTCAAACCCTCAGTAAACATGTACCAGAGATCAAAACAGTAAGCATGCTGAGTTCTGTTGCTAGATGCTCTTGATTGAAAAGAGGAGCAGAAATTTGTTAGCAAGGTAAAATTGTAATTAAGAATATGCTTGTGAAGAGCATAACATACATTTTCTTACACTGCATTTGACCAATTTTCACTGCAGATTTAATACTGCTGTTACATTTTCTTTGATGACTCAAGTAATAGGAGTTGCTGTATTACTTTTAGAACACGAATGGTTGACTTAGGCTGTGGATGAAAATGCTTCATTTTTTTATAATAAACAATAGCCCAGTCTAACTTCTGAGAAGTGAGGCTGTTGCTTTCTGCTCATGGTGATCCTGCTACCTTAACACAGAGAAGCTTTATTAATAGTGCCTTTTTATCTATAGTAACTTGTTTGGAAGTGTTTTTTGAAATAGGAATGCACAAACAAAAATGATCTTTGTTGGGCTGTTGCAGTCTTATCTTCTTCAACAATTGTTTTGAAGTCAACATGGTAGTACTGACTTTTATCTCATCACTGCCTCAAATCTATAACTGTTTGAATCTCTACAAGGCATAAACATCCCACTGCTTTTTTAAAATCCTAGTTGAATGCAGTTTCTTAAGCATACATCTTACCTGGCTTAGGTATGTTTTGGGCTGGTGAATCTTTGGGAGTTTATTCAGAGATGGTCAGATGGATTTTGATAATCATCTAGTCCATCATTTATGAATCTGCTGATTTTCAGCCTGAACTAGCTTTGTGCCTATTTGGATGACAGGTCCAGTATACTCTTAAAATCCAAGGTGTCATATTGTCTTAGTTGTTTGCTAAAACCAAAGTCTTCAACTATTGCAGACCCAGGACAGCATCCAAGCCTACCACTCTGCTCATGCCATTGCTGTAACACTTGCATCAGTAGTAATACCAAGTGCAACACCATTAGTTTTATGCTGGGATGATAGGTATTCTGGGGAAGCCCATTGTACCAGCATGTAGCCTTAATACACTTGGACCTTCAACATTTGAGAACTGCTGCTAATAAAACTTGTTCCTCATTATTTCACCCTGAAAGAACTGCTATAATGCTGGAATTACTGTAGACTCATATCTGTACACATTAACTCTCCCAGACTAGAGAAGAATATTTACTCTTGCCTGCTTTAATGTGCTACTGTCAGCCCTATTAAAAGGATGATTGCACAAGATCCCAGTCAATGGGTGCCTGTCTGTCTGTCTGTCTATCGCTCTTATCAATCATCCCTCTACTAGGGTCTTGGGACTGTTTGCAACAAAAAAATAAAATAGAAATTAAAATAGCACAGCATGCAGTATAAAACACATTAAAACCAATTAAACATTAAAATAACAGAAAGATAAAAGGGTTTTTGCCTGGCACCAGGCGAACCTCTCTGGGGAGCGTATTCCATAATCAGGGCACCACTGCAGAGAAGGCCCTCCTCCAGGTAACCACCCTCATAATCTCTTTCAAGGAGAGCTCCCGAAGAAGGACCTCCACCTCAGATCTTAAGGGGTGGGAAAGCATATGGGGAAGGCAGCGTTCTTTCAGGTATCTAGGGCCCAGGGCGTTTAGGGCTTTATAGGTCATCACCAGCACCTTAAATTGGGCCTGGACTTCAGTGGGCAGCCAGTGTAAGCATTACATGAGAATATCTGCCAGTCCATGTTAATATCCTGACAGGTCTATCCTGGACCAACTGAAGTATCCAGACCATCTTCAAGGGCAGTCCCATGTAGAGCACATTACAATGATCCACTCGGGAAGTTACCAGTGGATGGGTCATTGTTGCTAGGCATTGCTCATCCAGGTATGTTCTTGTGGTGTTGAAGCAGTAGCAGCAATGAAACATCTTCTGCTATACTGCAGCATTTATAGAAAATGCAGAAAGAAATTGATTATGCCATTAATAACAGACCTTTATAGTAATAATTCTTCCACTTTGATATCAATTTGTTTAAGGGATATATCCTTTATGTTACTGGAAATGTTGCCAGTTTTTTTTTACTACAAATTAGAGAATTCACTCACCCTCTTGAGTGAAGATATTGTATAATGTGCACTTGTTTAGACTGTGTTTTTATTTTACTATTGTTATTTTGATTTGTTTATTATTTTCCTGGTTTATAGCCATAAAAAATGTACAAATGAATATATAGGCAGTCCTTGGGTTACAAATGAGTTCCACTTCTGGGAAAATGGAAAATCATCTTTAAATCAAATTTGTATGTATGTCAGATCACATATAATTGGCCCTCCGCCTATAATCGGCATAGCACCCTAGTGAAAGTGGAAAAACATAAATATCTCTAACCGCCGCCTCCCCCCCACCCCAACTCACCAGGGCCTTCTCTTTACAGCAAGGAAATGCCAGAGGGATTTCCATCTCCAGATGAGCAGGGCAGGGAGGGATGCTTTGGGGGCTTTCTTTTCTCCCCTTTTGCTTCCTGTTTCTCTATGGTGATGCTTTGGAGGCCCACCCTCTCTCCTCTTCCTCTATGCTGTTCACGATTTTCTGCAGTAATTTTTAAAAATTAACAGGTTGTATGGCAGTTGGTTCATTAAGTGCAGATTGTTCTTAACTCAGATGTTCTTAATTTGGAACTGCCTGCGCCATCATATGTAATTGGCCTTGCACCAGAGGTCAGGTATGCTACTTGGGAGGAGAGTAGCAATACTGGCTGCTGCCCATAGGACCCAACTTTAACCCCCACTCACCTACGTGGGACTTGTTTTACCCTATATGGCCATCTTTCTTTTCTCTGAGTGCTTGAAAGATCAAATGCAAAGGAAGATAGGACACCTGAATCTTAATGATCAGAAAAGAGAATAATTGTTCTTGCAGAAATCCCTCATTTATATTACATTCCTCATTTGCTATTAAAGACAAAAGAAATCAGTAGAAATCACTTCTTCTGGTTGTTGTTTGTTTTATTTTCTTTTACTTTTGTTTCTCTCTCTCACCCTGTGTATGAAAGCAAAACCAAAAGAAAAATAAGGTGCAACCTAGCTAATGCAACCTAGCTAAATTGTTGTGTGATCCTTTTGAAGGTTCTTACCCACCAGCAGAAAGTTCTAAACCACATTGTATTTTCTTCCCTATGTTGTTCTTTTTTGTGTGGGACAATGCCAGATTGGCACTGAAGAGTCTAACAAAAAGTGGTTTTCAGGCTGATGAGCCACCAGGGAGAATTCAAAGAACAAAAATTGGTTTTATCTAATGCTGACCAGCTGCCAGCTGAATGGAAACCACTGGTGAAAGTGATTTTCTCGCTTCTTTATTGCCTCCCAAACCCTTCAATATCTGCTTCAGAGGATTATGCACCCCTCTGGAAGCAGATTGGGAAGGAATATGGAGGGCTACCAGGGAGGTGAGAAAAGCCAGTCCTGTTGTGCAAGGGCAAGTCCATTCATGCAACATTGGATTTAACTCATTGCTTGTGACTGGCTGTGTTAAAAGAAAAATTCTGATACTTTCTAGTTAAAAAGATGATAGAGCAGAATCTGTGTTTTTATACGACTATCAAATGTGAAGATCATTTGCTTTGATAGGTATTGATCTTGCTGTTTGAAATTTGCCAGTATAATCTCTTTGAATATAGTTTACACATGTGGGGAAATATGGAAGCTGTCTACTTGAATTGCATGTCCATGATCCTCTTCACAAAGTGTCCATGAAAGAAAGTTTATTATCCCCACCTTCTTAGACTGAAGAATGGCTGAGTTCTTGAGTTGTTCTGAAAAAATGTTCATGCACAAACGTTTTCTGGTGCCCTTGATAAAAGTCTTGACATTCCTCTATGAATGATTTTCATCAAAGCTACATCATGCAAACTGGATGCGGCAGAGGATGTTTTGGACAACAATCCCTTTCCCTTGCAGTAGAAATGGAGAGGCCATAAATGCTATGATGGATGCTCCAAGGCAGTTTAATGTAGCACTGGAGAAAATAGAAGCCATTACTACTGGAGGAGCTCCAGTTATGACAGGGAAAATAAATGGTGCTGTTACAGGAAATGTACCGACAACAAAATACCTGCTGTTTGGGGGAAGGGAAGTAAAACACACAATACCAGCTATCCAGAACTAATTACCTTGCTGTATCCATTACCCAAAAGTGACATTCGTTGTTAATTGAAATTTGACATGGATAATATTTTACATATTATTTTAGGCATTATCTCACTGGGTGCTTCTTCCTTAAAGTTACATAACAAAATCTGAAAGTTTTCTTTTGGCATCGGTGGAACTTCAGCACAGTTTTGCATTCTCATGCTGTGAAAAGGGTATTTCATACTTTTTATGTTGGAATCTGCTGGAAATGGCCCTTTGTTAGTTAAAAATAAATGGTGGGTAAGCTAGAAAAAGTTTTCTTTACTGAATGTTCCTTTTGCATATGCTTTCAGAAGAAGCTTACCCAACAGCATAATGCCTTTTAGGATCTCAAATTGCCAGTGTGGGGCTGCCTTCCTATTTTCAGACTGTAAAACAGGAAGATTTTGTTTTAGTAGCAGTTCTTACCTGCCTGTCGTCTGTCTATAAATTGCTCCACAGAAGAAGATAAAAACAGATTATCATTAGGTTCGATGTGTCATTTAAAAATTCTTGGCATTCCCCTCATATTAAGGTCTCTTGAACAAAAAAATTAAGCAGAAAGAGTTTGAAAATCTGTGGAAACCTCAAATGGTACTGCGGATGGGAATCCTTCTGCCAGGAAGTTAGTCACAATGTAAAGAAGATGTGTTCAGATAGGTCTTGTTTTATATCAATGACTCTGAAAGAAAATCATGTTTAGGTTTCAGAGACGAGGAGATTTCTTGATCCTTCCTGACACACATACATAATAATGAAAACTTCATACATTGAAGTGTTTTTCAAGATGCAGAGTTAGATCCAGTGTTAAGTATGGGCAACTGGGGAGATACATCCTCCTTCTTAGCCTCTCCATCCCTTTGAAAATTATCCACAAAATTTAAGAAACCCTGCTGAATGGAATGAGCTGTGGTGAGGATCACCAAAAATCGGGCAGAAGGACTTTCAGAGCCTTTCTTCTGGAGTCTCTCTTCTGGAAAGTAGATTCTAGACCTAATACATGTAGTTTGATACTTCTCCACTATTTATATAGCCCTTTCCCCATTCATCTGTTACATTCTTTGTATGCTTATCAGTCTTAGGTTGTGGTTTAGGCAAAGAAAAGTTCTTCCCACTCCCTATCTGACTTGGAGGATGACATTGACTGCTCACTGTGTATGAAACTACACATGATGCTGATCCCATGATCATTATTACTCTTCCTTCCGGGACCTTTGGTACTGTGGTAACTGTCTAGTCACTATATCACACTGGTTCTAAATAGTCAAAGTACATAAGATAGGAAGCATCTGTGTGCCAATTTGTCTTATTAAAATTTAAATACATAACAAATATTTTAATAACTGAAATACAAATAATAATGGCCTGATTGGAGAATAGTGTAGATAACTAAAACACAAATAATAATTATAGCAGATCAGGAAGCCCATGGAAACTCATATTCTTAAAATTCAGTGAAATTATTTTACTCCACTAAGATCTTGTCCAGGGAATATATATATTAGTCTAGACAATATATGAAATTTGGTTCCTTCTCTGTGTTATCAGCTGTTATCATATGGTTAACTCATTCTCTCTGTCCATTGTATTCCATACTTCCTCTTAGAAACAAAGAAACAGAGCAAGTCAGAAGGGGCCTCCCAGTCCATCTAGTCCAGCTCCAGCTGGGTCCACTCATGACATGCCTACCACATGCATGTCCAGCCTAGCCTTGAACACCCTCACCAATGGGTCTTCAGCCACCTCCCATGAAAGCCCATTCCATACTCTAGGGGTCCTAATTGTCAGGAAATATTGCCTGGCATCCAAATTGAACCTTGGTTCCCTGAGCTTTGCTCCATTGGAACACGTCCTATTCTCCTCCTTAGGGGAAAACAAGTCTCGACCCATCTCAGTGTGACACCCCCTCATATACCTATTTGTCACCAACAGATCCTCTTGGAGTCTCTTCCAGGCTGAATAGACCCTGTTTCCTCAGTCTTTCCTCATACAACTTCCCCTGCAATCTGACCACCAACCTTGCAGCCCTATGTTGCACTGATTCCAACCTAGTCATATCTTTCCTGTAATCTGGAGTCCAGAACTGGACACAATACT